TGAAGGCACCGGGGTGTAGAAGGCCCCCACGGCGGCGAAAAGGGTCGACTGAAAAACTACAGCCACTGGAATTGGGGGAGCTGGTCGACGGCGCAGGATTAGCGCTCGAGGTCCGTTCCGCTACCGGTAACGCTGTTACTGGGGCCTACCCGGTTTCGCGCTCTCACCGCGGGAGTGGGCGAGACTGGCCTTCGTCTTCACTGTGGTGTTCACCACGGTAACACGCTGGAGCGTGGAACACGGAGGCATGGGTAGCCATAGCCAGCTCATGTAATCACGTAATCGTAAGTTTTAGGGTTGATAGGTGATACAACTAAATATTGTCTCTATTCACATCGTTTCCCATCGTTCTTCTTGCTGGGATGAACCCATGACTCTCAAGTGGCGAAGGGATACGAGGAAGGGTGAACTTGGCGTGCGCGAAAAGCGCCCGCCCATGAGGAGAACGAAGAAAGGTAACCAAGAGACACAGAAGTACGTCTTGTCAGGAGGCATCTTTTAGGATCGAGCGGGACGGAGCTACACTTCTTCTAAGGGAGGGAACGCCTGCATGACGGGCCTACGTTTTTGTGACAGATCAGGTCTTCGAATATCCGTTACTCAAGAAAGGCAGTATGGAAGAGCTAGACTCTAGCTCAGTGTATCCAGAATCATGGACTCGCTAGGTGAGATCTAGAGTACCGAACGTTAGCCAGATTAATCCTAGACAGACAGATGGGAAGTCGAATGGAGGTTTGTTAAGGCTACGTAGCAATAGAAGAAATTAAGTCTCAATATAGTAGCTTGTACCGAGTCTGATCTATTGTCTAGCATATCTACCGGAACTGTTGAAGGGTAATGTAACTCAAGTTGTGTAACCTTGGCGCGAGATAATCCATCTACAGCGTGATTGATAAGCGGACGTCCATAGGTAAACTGGATCTTCACTGTCACCACGGCTTTCCGTAAAACTCGGACCGAGCGAGATCAAATCCCGATCAGCCTGACCATAGCGGGTCGGCATTCAACCCACTTCACCTTGCGGTGGACTTGGAAGAAGACTGTCCAAGATTCACTAGCTCCTTGCCCTGTGAACCAGGTGGCGGAGATCAAGATTGGAGTGAGGCGAGATGGCGAATCTCAGACAGGAGGTGGTGATGGACGATCAGGCGTCGGTCGGAGCAAGATCTCCACCCCCAGCCCCGGATATACTGGAAGTCTCTGAACCCAGAGTTAGAGAACTCCTGGCACAATGTTACGAGGAGGGCAATATCCCTGATAATATTCCATGCGAAAGTGTGGAAATTATCGGCAGAGAAGCTGTAATCAAGGTCAACTCCGAGTTCGATCAGATCAAGGTGAGATGGTTGAAAGAGCGTACCGTGGTGATAATTTTCAAAGATGCTGCCAAAGATCTTCCAAGGAAGGTGAAATCGGACCTCATCAGAGCGTTGGAGAACGGATGGACCAGGGATAACGTTTTCAACCCACCTGCACCTAGAGGCACAATTCGGTTCGAAGGTCCGAATGTCCTATCATATGTAGCCAGAAATACAGTCGTATCAAACTGGATGATAGAACAAGCAGAAGGAAGGGTAGAGGCGTTCGGGGTGGAATATGGCATGAGTTTTAGACCCTGGATGACGCGACTAGAATGGAGAGACTTCCCTAGACGACATGAGGAATCCACCTTCTGGGTTATGGCCTTGCAGGTCCCACTGGATTCGATAGTTTACACCAAGACATCAATCAGGAGGATTATTGGTCCAATCTTGAAAGACTACCCGCCTATTAGAGATACCTCGAGACCAGAGCTTATGAATTTAAAATATGATGTGGATCCTCAGTGCAGAGCTAGAATGGTCGATAGGATTTGGGTAGAAACAGACAATGGAGACCTCAGGGAACTGCGACTGGTCTCATCGTCAACCCCTTGGTTTAGAAGATGCAGAAGCTTCTTTCACATGGAAGACAAATGCACACAGAACTTTAAACTCAACCAAGGAGGACAACGAGCTCAACACCAAGGAGATCGGAGCTCCGTAAGGCAAGATGAGGGAGGAAACGAAAATCTTAGACCTCAAGGATCTGGCGGCAGAGGCAGCGAACGTGCAGGCAGCTTTTGTGGCCCGTTGGCGAACTCTGCAGTGCAGCAAGGTTCTTTCGTGAATGATCAACCGCGTCGGAATGGACAAGCCACACTCCAGCAGTCTCAGCAGGATCTATCGTCTCAGCATGTGAAACCACTTTTCTCCCCGAGAGCGGAGTACCCAGTCTAGTTGCCAATGGTATGGGAGAGACAGCTCCAAGGCAGGCAACAGCAATGGAGTGGCCAGCAAGTCACTCTTGTGGACCAAGAACGAGCCTTTGAGATGCACAGGAGACAACAACAGTTACAAGAAAGAGACGCCCTCTTTCATCTGCAGAGACTGCAGAGAGCAGCAGAGCTTGCGGATAACAATCAATTAACCACGCAAGAGCACGCTGTAATGCCGAGACTTGATGGTCCTCAACCCAACCTCAATGTACCACCGGCTGCGGCAGCCCTTCAGAGAGACGCGAGAGGTCGATCTCCCTCAAAGATGGTCAGAATGATCCCGAGGCAACATCAGAATGGTGAAGGTAGCAGCAGACCAGAACAAGAGGGAGAAGTAGTGCAAAGCGAGAACTCGCAGAACTCCCTCGCAAACTCAGATAGATCTGCAGGTGCGGTTAGACAGACCATAGCCACTCCAAGAGTTGGCATCAAGATGTCTCGGGACGGGAGAACTGTTACCATTGGAAGAAGCCAGCTTCAAGGCTTGGAGAAAAGAGTTCTTCCGTTAGTATTCTCATTAATCAACAACACAGTACAAGTGCTGGCGTGGATGTCGCCACAAGGTATAGCCTCCTTTCACTCTATTCCGACGGAGGAACCGGTACTCCCAAGTACCACACTATCCTTAGCCAGACAGAGTTTTGGGGACTCGTTGCCAATCAGGCTGGTCCTAGACATCACGATGTGGAAATTCTATGTGGACCACCAAGAGCGGAAGATAAAGTTTCTCGTACCTCTGCTGGATGGCCATATACAGAAGGAGCGTCTGGAGAACTTAGCAGGGAATGGCCTGAGAACACTGCCGGTGTCAATTCTTCTCCAAGGAGGAAACGGCGAGCTGGAAAACCTCTGAGTCAATCAAGAGATCTGTGCAGGCTTTTTAGGGGAGTTCAACGCAAAGCTTCCGACCAATAAGAAGATGGACTCGATTTTCCTTCGGAGCTTCTTGGCTCAGAAATGGGCGATGTCTCCTATACAAGCCTCCTCCTCGTCAAACAGGAGAGGTACCACTGCGATGCAGAACGCCGCTGACGGAGGAAATGCAGTAGTCCGGATCCAGGAAGCAACGGGCACCAACGCCATAGATGGACAGAATTAAAATCGCAACTTGGATGCGGGGTCTAGGGGATACTACAGGAAGAGTTAAGAAGCCCAGATTGAAGTCCTGGATTCACCGCTACAAAGTACAGATTATGCTGCTACAAGAAACCAAGCTTAGCGATGAGAAGATACTAGATTTAGGCTGTTGGTGGGACGGTCCACAGATATGGGCACCAGCGGTGCCCACTAGGGGAGGTGTTGGTACCTAATTCACAGACAGTTGCAAGCTAGCATCGTAGATTTCGAGGCAGACCAATGGGGAAAGTGGGCATGGGTGAAATTCGAAGATCAGCAATCCTCCTGGACAGTCATGACAGTTTACGCCCCTTCGGATAGAGCAGATAGGATTAATTTTTTCAAAGAATTAATGGACGTCACTCCGGATGTGGACAATTTGATGGTTGCAGGGGACTGGAACTGTACTTTAGATAACTTAGGGAACACGGCCTCAGGCGCAACAGACTCTGCACTACTCCTAGAACACATGACGAAACTGGAACTCAGTGACGTCTTTCGCTTGATGTACCCACAGGACCCTGGTCACTCGTGGTACTCTGCAGCGACAGTGGGACCGCAAGCCAGGGCCTACAGACGCCTGGACTTTTTCTTAACGAGCCCTTGGTGGTCAGATGCAGTTCACGAAATTAGAGTAATCCCGAACCCGGTATCGGATCACAAACCAATCTTAGCGTCCTTCAAACTGAGGGATTGCACAGACAAAGGTAAGGGGTACTACAGGCTAAATGTGCTGCTGCTGAAAGACCCTGGTATAACAAGGTGGGTCGACTCCTTTTGGTGAAAATGGCCAGAATCACGCCACCTGTTCCAGTCATCAGGGGACTGGGGGGACGCTGGTTCAGCCATCACAGCAGGGGTCCTCAGTGTGTTCTCGCGTATCATGGCTTTTAGAAGGAACAAGGAAGAGCTGGATATCAGAGTAAGATTGGAGGAGACAGAGAGAAGGATGGACATGCATCCCATATCAGCCCAAGTATGGGCGGAGGAGAGAGCAAACTTGATGCTAAAATGAGAAGAGTTACAGCTAAAGAGATCAGAGGAATGAGCAGACAGACTGAGAGTGAAAGGAATAACGGTGTACGACAGGATGTCACGAGAATCCTTTCAGAAATTATCTCCGAAAGGCACAACACAAGGCATGAAGGCATTACAACACCCCTTCATGTCCGCAGCGAGCACAGCAGAAACTAGTGCAGAGATGTGCGACTACGCAATGTTGTATTTCAAAGACATCCTCACATCGAGAAGGGTAGGAGAAGACCTGCAACGTGATCTCACAGTCAACTCTGATCATTGGAACCACACCACCAACAGACTCACCAACCTGGACAGCATCAGCCTGGAAAACCCCATCACGGAGATTGAACTACGTGCAGCGGCGGATTCGATGGCAAAAGGAAAGGCATCAGGGAGCGAGGGTCTACCGATAGAATTCTACACAGCACACTGGAAGGTTCTCGCTCCCCATCTACTGGAAATCTACAACGAGGTGCTCGCCGGGGGGTCCCTCTCTTCGAATATGGCCTATGGAATTATCTCGGTGATCTACAAGAAGGGGAACAAGGAAGACATCAGGAACCGGAGACCGATCTCCCTCCTAAATGTCTCCTACAAGATCTTAGCGAAGGTCCTTGCAAGAAGGTTAGCTCAGATGTTACCGGAACTAGTGGGTAGGGACCAAGCAGCGTTTGTCAGAGGAAGATCTATATTTGACAATATTGTCACAGCAATGGAGGCCTTGGAGCTAGTGCGAAGTGAGAACCAAGAGGTGGCCATTCTCCTTTTGGACTTGGAGAAGGCCTACGACCGAGTGAACTGGGCTTATGTGCTCACAACGCTCAAACACCTAGGCTTTGGTCCTAAGTTTAGAAGTTGGATAGCCGCCATGTATGGGCCCTCCAAAGCGTCAGTAATGATAAACGGTCAAATTTCGGAGTCTTTCTCTCTCTCTAGATCACTCCGTCAGGGCTGCCCACTGGCCCCCCTTCTTTTTGTAATACAACTAGAAGTGCTGCTCAATAACGTTAGGAATCATCCGGACATCCACGGCCTGAAGATGCAGAACACGGAATGTAGAGTCAAGGCGCTTGCGGATGACTTGCTCGCAATCTCTGAGAATTCCCAGAGTTCCCTGGAAGGTCTGAAGAGCTGCCTGGTAGAATACTCTCACTATTTGGAGGCAGCAGTGAACTGGAATAAATCTGTACTCTTTCTACCTGCTCAGTACGCTCCTGCGGTGGAGTTAGGCATGAAGAGAATTACAGATGGCTCGTCGGAGAGGTACCTAGGAGTGCAAGTCGCCTTGGGGAACTGCAAGGAGTCGCAGAATGACATACTTCAACAGAAAATCATCCAGCGAATCTCCAGATGGGGGCCAGCCCCGCATCTGTCACTCTTTGGGAGAGCAATGGTCCTTAACGTCGCCTTATTCTCACTGCTATGGTTTGTGGGAAGAGTCAAATTGCTCAGCAAGCATCTCCTCAGATCAGTGAGGAACGCTGCAGCGAGATTCCTATGGAAGCCGTTTGGAAAGTTGGACGGGGGATTCATTTTGAAGGTCGCATGGGACACAATATGTCATAGTAGGAGGGAAGGTGGCCTGGGAATGTTGGATCCAGGCAAACAGAACTTAGCCCTGCTGGCCCAGTGGATCATCAAGATAATCTCATCTAATCATGATGATCATTGGGTCCTCATGGAGGAAGTTATTCTGGCCAAGGAATGGGACTTACCAAGACTGGAAGATGTCTGGATATGTTGCATGCTGGATTCATACCTACGCCGACAGATAAAGTCCCCTTTCTGGCACGGGGTACTGCATGCATGGAGACAAGTGAAGCCGAAACGGTGGTCTGAACCAACTTCGAAGGAAGAGGTATTGGTCCAACCTTTATTTGACAACCCCTTCATCAGAGACCCCAGCGACATCCCCTTCTCAGCAGGTACAGGCGCTGGAGCTTTCGGAAGGAGCTGGATACAACGGGGGGTCCTTCGAATCTCGGACATCTGGGATGAGATCTGCGGACGGTGGATAACTGCTGGAGAACTGAAAGGAAAGTTAGGTGGATTGAGGGAGGTGGAAGTCAGACTCCTGGGCCTGATCAGAGCCATTCCAGCGGATTGGAAACAGAGACTGGACTCCACAATCACAGACCAGGTGGGGTGTTGGTATACCTCGCAGGATCCAGAGGAGGAAAACCTGTATTCGTACTTGGTTGGCAAGGATGTGGACGCCGGACGGTACTAGATCATTTCAGCAATGGGAACAGCCCAACCAGGCAAGCCCATAGCTGGTTGAAATTGGAAAAGAGAATGAGGAGTCGGCTGGTGGAAGCAATTTATAACCACTGAGGCAGCTCATGCAGGTAAGAGTCAAAGAATCCTGTGACGAGCAAGGTTCCTGGTCCTGCTAAACTCAGATTGGACCCAGCAATGTGGAGGTGGCAAAACCCACAGAGCTGGCTATCTGAGTACACCACTCAGAGAGGTTACAAAGAATTACAAGGAGCCTCCCCCCCGGTGGTTATCGCAACACAGCGCTGGACGCAGGTAGTTGGAAAGGAGCCTGAAGAATTAGTGAATATTCTTCCGATTCTGTGGGAAGTGATTCTGCAAATCCCATCGCAACGCACAGCCTCCATACTCTGGCTGCTATCACTGCTTGTCAACCCATCAGCTGTCTGGCTACAAAGTAGGGGTATGAACATTGCACTAATCTGCAAACGCTGCAAGTGGCCATTCGAGTCAACAGTGCACTTGTGGTTATCCTGTCCACTGTCAAGACGAATTTGGACGTGGTGGCAATCTCATTGGGCCAGATTCAGCGGTGATGACCTTACTTAGGATGACGACTGGATTCTTTTTGGGGTGCATTTGGGGGAGAATCCACAGGAAAAAGGGTGGTGCTACGTGGCACAGGTTTGCAGAGCGGTTCTCTTCGAGGTCATTTGGGAAGAGCGTAACAACATTGTGTTCAAGAACAAATTTACCTCTGACCAAGCGCTGAAAAACAGGATAAAAAAACTGGTGAGCTTGGAGGTACAAAGCGACTGGCGCAGGAAGTGACGAACTCATCCAACAGGCTCAGAGGTATGGCCTGGTTTCGAGAAAACTGGGCCCGATGCGAAGAGCTAGCGGCAGTCAAGAATGGGAAATTGGTCATTGGAGAAGGGCACAAAAGCCTTTAGGCAGGACCTGGGTGCTCGGTCTGGATCTTCGCAGTAGAAGGGCAGTGGTGGATTGGGGATGGTAGGAGCACCAGATATGGCAGGATTCATTTTAGGATCCGTTATATGACTGGCCGACAGTAGGTCTGTGTGGGACCAGCACGCTCGGTCCAAATGTCCGCAGGAGGACAGCAGGAGGTAGGGAGTTTGGGCAACACGGAGGGAGTGTGGTAGACAGAAGGTGTCGAGTTAGACTCCAGGGCCTGGTCCTTAAGGCCTTCTATTAGGAAGGGAAGTAGAATTAGGACCCTTCAGCACATGTTAGCCCCTTGGACTATAAGTCCACTGGTCGAGTTTAGACCAGTACAAGTAAGAGGCGTGTGTAGCATATTCAGTTCCGTTAGTCAGGGTAGGAGCATGTGTAGGCAGGAGTAGCGGTAGAGGTAGACCTAGAAACGGTAGCAGTAGAAGTAGGATTCGCAGCCTCAGAGCTGCTGGGTTGAAATAGACCCGCAGGCATAGCCTGTAAGCTAAGCTGGATGATGCTTCCAGTAATGTGCATCCGGGAGTAATGTAGAGGTCCCCGGCCTCTGATTGAACTTTGAAAAGAATTTGAGTTTTCAGAAAAAAAAAAAAAAAAAAAAAGGCCCCCACGCCMCCCCCCYCCCGCCCCGATCCCGACCTTCCCAGCCTCCAGGTGGGCCGAAACCACGTGTACGGCCGCTGAACGGGTCGTTCACAGAATTCGGCCCCGTCACCGGCCTGTCAAGTTCGCGGGACACGCACTGCTCCTAACGCAGTGGCACACACCGTGGAGGAGATCTGGCAGGACCTGTTTTCTCTTTTCGTTCGGAGTTTCATACAAAAATCCAAACAGAGGTTTCATAACACATACCGCTTAGGTTACCTTCCCGAGAAGGCCAAATAACTGACGGAGGTGCATATAATATAATGCAACTTTTCACTGAGTTGTTTTGTCTCTCTCTGTATGACAATTCAATTGTTCACGGATTGTCATTGCAAATTGTTCTCTAGACTTCTTATCGAGGTGATCATAACAGTTTATATAACGTGCGTGTTTTGCGATAACATCGAATAATATATGTGGGGGAGTAAGTAGAGGCTGTCTCTTATACACATCTAGATGTGTATAAGAGACAGCACACACACACACACACACACACACACACACACACACACACACACACACATGCTGGCCGGGTGTGCCGACAGTCGTGTTCATTCTTTCAGCTTTCAGCCCCGTGTCTCCCGACTGAGTGGTAGCTAATACTCGTTCAGAGGGATTGAGAGCATCATCACAGTTGACGCAAGCGACGGCACTGACGGAAAGAGTGAGTGTGAGTGCGCCCGCAATGTGGCGTGTCGGCTCCTCGTCTCAGCTGGCCACGGTAGAGACATCATTCTGTCGTCCAAGTGCAGGAGTGTCAGAGGGAAGGATGAGAGGATTGAGAGGAAGAAGGTGGTCTGTCTTCTGTTGCCTGGTCGCGTTTGTCCTACTGGCGAGCGGGAGGCGGTTCGGTCAAGCTGCACCGGGCGACCCTTGCGAGACGGATGGAGATTGTGACGCCTCTGAGGCCTGCGTTGACGGCGAATGCGGACAGCTTCCACCGCCGCCCCCGCCCCCGCCCCCGCCAATGTGTGTTCAAGATAGCCACTGCACACAGATGTTTGGAGGTACCTCGCACAAGTGCTGCAATGGGAGTTGCGTGAGAACGAAATGTTGCATTCACAAGGACTGCAAAAAAGGTAAAGTCTGTTGCAATGGGGCGTGCAGTAAGGGCAAGTGCTGCGTCAACGAGGATTGCAAGCAACACAAATGGAGGCGCGTTTGCAGAAGCAGACAGTGCGTTCGGTGGTGAGGCATGAAACAAAGGATGAGTTGCAAGTATAGCCCTTACCGGTGCGATAGCCCCTAGTACCTTGCACAGGTGCTCTCTCTCTCTCTCTCTCCCGCGCGCGCGCGCGCACGCGCGCCATCAATCAATCCCTCTTTCTCTCTTTTTTTTCACGTTTTTCTTTTCTCGGGACAAGCTGAATGATGAGGACGAGGCGAGCACGACGAGGAACAGAGGCGGGATGATCATGACTCATGAGCGTCATTACAACGAGGTGATTGGTTGACACATGCTACGGTTTTCTCCGGTCAGGTCGAGCGGCAGTGGTCGGGGCCGTCACTACGCGGCCATGCTGTGCCTCTAGTGCCAGCGGCGTGTCTGGAGTGTATTTTTTGGCTGTGACAGACCTTTCTTTGTTTCGTG